GTGTGTGCGCATTGCTGCTTTAGTGTGTCTGCTGGACCAATGAGCTAGGCTCCTTCCTCCTGAAATCACAAGGAAGGTTTTATTGTTTTCTGCACATCTCTGTCTTTTCTAGCACACGAGCTAAAGAAGCCAGATGGTAGCTGACTCTGGTACTTTCCTGAAGGATGGTTGATATGATTAGCAACAAGGCGTTTCCACCATACAGCAGGAATGACGTTACTGTGGATAGGACACAAGCCACTCGGGACATTTTGTTTTATTAAGGTCCAACAACATCAGTGGAAGAGAGGTGCATGTGCTCCATGCATTGTCATATTGTCAGTCAGCGTTTTATTTATGCACCAGTTTGTCAATGAGACGCAGTGACAAGAAGGAATAATATCTCATTTTTTAATGTTTTAGGAGAGAAACTTTAACAAGTTTTAATATTCTTGACTTTTGCTCAGTGTGTTTTGTCAAAATTGTCCTTATTCTGGTTGAGAATGATTAAGCTAAGCTCCTGTGGGACCAAAAATAAACAGACCAACTGGTAATGGCTAACCAAGCTGACAGACTAGTGGTGGGAAAGTATAGGAAGAAGGCTGCAGTGATACCAAGCTGTGTTTGCTACACCGAGTTACAGCACCACGAGGGAGGAACACGAGAAGCTAAGAGAGGAGATGGGTGTTGCCTTCACCTTGGATGCTTCTCTATGTGCCACCTGCGCTAGTCCAACCGTGACAGGTTATTTGCTGCCTAATATTACATGGTCAACTATTAGTGCTATGATAACAACATGGAGGCAATTAGAAACAATTCAGCCACCAAGTAGCAGACTGTGAAATCACACGTAGTCACAGTAGTCAGGTTATTGATAGTCTTGTCTTTTAGTCAATAGGTGGAGCTGTAAGCAGTCTGGCTTTCATTGTGTGCGTTTGGATGGCAGCTGTCTGAAACACCTGTTTATTCTTCTGCTGATTTGTTGATAAAAAGCATGAATAACAAACCAGCAGCAGAATATCATGAGGGGAGTGGTTCCACTTTTTCTGCAGCTGAATTCAGTGCATATATCATCCCATCTGAGAAACAGATCAGAATAACAAAGGTCAAAATAAGAACAGGATGGTAGCTGCATCGTTAGCATTGAGTAACAGAAAGTGGAATAAGCCATAGCAGCAGAAGCACAATACACACAGCCAAAGTACATCATCACAAATGTTTACCTGACTTGTAAAGTCCAGAAAACTCGAAGTCCGAGTACATTCTGTGATTTTGTTGTACTAACATTATTATGTTTGTGTCATCAGAACATGTGCTGTGCATACTTAATGGTGTCCTGTAAGCTTCAGTGTCTGCAGATACGCTGTGGTCCGCTTGGCTCTAAGCAGCATAGATTTTGGGAGTGCGAGGCTCCGAGCAGACGTTTACATGCCGGAGTGTGACCACGTGAACCTGCCTGCAGACGGCATAAACTGCAGTGCACCTACTACGTATGAATACAGGCAGACTTTAACAGGCATGGCTGCTCGTCTGCAGCCACATCAGAGGTTGGATTTGGACTTGAGGTGCTAATAGTTTAGTATAACAACGTCCATGTTTACAGTTGGATGAAAAGTACAAAATGGGCACAAATCAAATCAGTAAGTGAAGCGATTGGATGTCGGGCCTGACGTATCAGACTCGCATCCACCGCCGAGTAGAACCATCAGTTTGAACATTAAACACTTTCCCACAGAAAAGAGAGGACAGAGTGGACAAAAGACAGGAGGCGGTCAGGCAAATGGGTTTTCACGACTGTGCACTCGCTTTATTACCATTACACCCAGTTTGGCAAACACTGTTAATCTGGTGCCACATCGACAGGACAAGACATCAAGGTTATCTCTGCCATGGATTTCCAACAGCGCCGTCAGTGAGAGGAAGACTACGGATTTAATTGTGAGGAGAATGTTTTAGTAGCACCCTCCTGATTGACAGCTCTTTGAATAAACGTGTGTGTGTGTGTTTTGGGGGATGGGAGGTGGAATTACAAGTTGGCGTTATTTCAGGAGAGAGCTGCTGTCTCTGCCTCTTTTCTAGCCCTACACACACACACACACACACACACACACACACACACACACACACACACACACACACACACACACAGCAATAAAGAAAAACCCTCTCTGTGTCTCGGTCCTGTCCCTGCAGCCTCAGAAACACTCACGTGCACACACACTGTTGGCTGGTATAACGTGAACAAATGAAGCACTCGGCTTTGGCGGCATCGAAGGGGCCCCTGAAATTAAGCTTGTGTTTATTTTTGCAGTGAAAGAAGAGGGAGGAAAAGATGAGCGTTTGAGGAGTTGGGGGAGGGTAGAGGAGCAGGGAGGAGTGTTTCTTTGTGGTACTGTACTGCTGGAGTAGGAGGGAGGATTACAAAACTCTGCCCTCTATCGGAATGCTGAGCTGCATGTGTGTTGTCTGTCTGCTGGTGCAAACTGGAAGCATTCCTTGGAGCGCCACAGTTTGTCAGTGTGACAGATGTTTAATGTTTTATCCTGCTGGGGTTAGGAGAGGTGTGATCGTAGGGCTGAGTCTGTGTTTCTCATCTATTCTTTTCTTCTCCGTTATCGGCCTGGCAGTGTGTTGGAAGGGTGTGGTGGATGAAAAGCGAAGGGAGAAAGTGTGCGTTTGTTTATTTATTTATTTATCTGGGGGGCACTGCTGACTGTAACAGTCATTATATTATGTAAAGCCTGGCAGCAGCGACAGTAACCAGGGGGAGGGGAAGTCTAAGTGAGAGAGCGTTGGGTGCCAGTTACTGACGTGCAGAGCAAGGCTAGCTGTGATTGGCTTCTCAGCACAGATCTCTGGCTCATTAAACGTGGTGAGGTGGCTGGATCGGCGGAGGGGTTACACGAGCTGCTCGTGTTTGTACTCCCAGCAAATGGAGGCGACGACTCCACCGCTGCGTCACAAATTAATTAGAGGAAGAAGTGGCAGGGAGAGCCATGCTGTGGGACCATTAAGACTCCTCCCTGTGCTAAAGAGGCAGCTGTAGATGTGAGGTTAATAACTGACACGAGTGGAGGACAGGATGAACAGATTAGAGCGGTGAAAAGCCCGACACCATGAGGGGCACGCCAGAGTGACGCCAGAGTGAATCTACCAATAGGAAGTGACAAAGTGAGGAGTAAAATGTGTTTGTCAAGGTGTGTGTGCGTGCGTGTGTGTGCGTGTGTGCGTGTGTGTGCGTGTGCGCGCGCGTGTGCGCGTGTGTGTGTGTGTGTGTGTGCGGTAATCGGAGCAGTAACCTCCAGACTGAGCGAATGGCGTCCAGGAGAGCAAAGGTCAGCTCCCAGGCCCAGAGCTGGAAGGATTGTAGTTTTCATTCGTTTTGTATTCATGTAGACCAGATGACTCACTTCATACATGAGACTTGCTCCAGAGTTCTCCACCACACTGGACGTTGTACACCCACTGGCTGCTGGGGAAAATGTGTATTTCCTTACTGGTTGGCAGTGATTCTTGGAGGTTGCTGGTTTTCACTGGGAGTCTAAGGTCTCCGTCTGAGTTTCTACGTACGTTTCTCTACAGTTACTATAGAGCTACTGTAAAAAGTGCAGCACAAACCAGACACGCAGCCCGATTACCTTCAAAGTCAAAGTTGTGCCTCAGCGCTGTCTGGCCTCCACTTTCCTCTCAGCTTTGCCGACATGCAGAAGTCATTCATGCTTTAAACTATCTTATAGTAACCCAGAGGAGACGATCAATGAAATATATTGTGTTTAATCTGACTCGTCCATCTGAGTGAGTTTGCTGTCAGGTTCGCCCCCTGCTCTTCCTCATTACACACTGCTTTGTGTGTTTTGTCACGCTAACAGTGGAACTTAGCAGGGACAGGGTTTGCCTTTCCAACTGGTCTATGATCTGGTGGGGTTGTATCTTTGTTGCTCTTTGCTTTTTCTTATTGATCGATTTATTAATTTCTTTATTTTTTCCAGTCTACACAAAAATAGTATTCATCATCGAGCGCCACGCAAAGCTGTGTTCTCTGTATTTACATCTGCATTACATTATCTGGATTAGGAAAAGTGTAGAAATATACAAATGTAATCATGTTAATACCAGATTAAAAACTGATTCGAGCTGGGATCGCTGGGATAACTTGGAGTTGTTCCCCGTGGTTTCAGAGGAACGTGGGATTAACTTTGCTGACAAAGGGAGGAGAGAACATCTGGAATAAGGGTTGGGAAGGATTGGAGGTTCCAGAGTCGTTCAGCTATTGCACCCAATGTGGTGGATAACTGTACTCATGCTTTAAGTTACATAGAGGAGTGTGTTTGTTATCTGACCTGAACCTATTTGGGTTTAAGGTGGCTCTGCTGACCTGTCTGACCTCTCTTGTTTTTAGGATGGAGCAGATGTCTGAGGAGGCACTGAGGCTGAACCTACTTAAGCGAGGCCTTGAGTCAACCAGTGAGCGAGAAGAGGCGTTGGCCAAACGCCTCAAAATGGAAGGTCACGAGGCCATGGAGCGCCTGAAGATGCTGGCACTTCTTAAACGCAAGGACTTAGCTGACCTAGCAGCCCTAGATGTTGCAGGGAGCTTGGGAGATGGAAAAGGCCCTGGAGCCAGCAGCCTCCATCATCAGAGCCTAATGGGTGCTGCTTATGAGGAGAAGTTAAATGGGAGTCTGAGGCTGGGAAGCCACAGTAGCCCCGTTGGACCAAGTAAGAATGGAAAGGAGAACATCCTGGATGAGCCAGTCGACATGAGCGCTGGGAGGAGGTGGTGAGAATAAACATTTTAAACAGAAGGATTCTGTGTAAAGAGCAGGCATGTGCTTTATAGCATGTTCGTTTACCTGAATCCAGGCATCGTTTATCTGATTATTTGAAGGACAATACCAGTTCACCTTAGCAGCTAGTTTTACTCTGCAAAAGTAACTAGTGGGTGAAACCTTGGCTGTCAATGAAAATCTTCACTTTTGTCCTCGTTGGCACATTTTTGGCCACCGAACTGCAAGAAGTGTCCACGGCACACTGTCTCTGTGGCTTTGACATGACTACAGAGGGACCAACTTATTCCACAGGTTCAGTAAGAAATCTGTGGAATAGTCCACATACAGTATTTGGTGCCAGCTCGCCCCTACAGAGCAGGGCTTGTATGTACATTGTGTGCAAGGTGCATAGCAAAGGTTTAAACCACACGAAAAGTAACGAACACCCTCAAGGGCCCAAATTACTAAACGGCACAAAGTAACACAGGTGTACCAAAGGTGTGGTTAGTTTTATGGCTGTTTTACAGTAATGAAAATGCACATGCAGCAGGGGCAGCTGTAAAAATCAGTCAGTTCTTCAGTAAATCGGCCCTCAAACTGTGGGGCTGATGAAATGTATAACATGGAACAATGACACAAGGGCACCACTAGCCTACATGTAATCTAGTGTTGCTATACAGTATATTCAATCTTCTTTGATAAATGAAATGTGTGACAATGTACATTACTGTTTCTGTCCCCCAAACCTTTGTGTCTGGAGCTGGTGAAAGATTTGCTTTTAAGTTTAAGAATCAGCACATGGACGTTAGATGTGGGGCCGAGTTTCTTTGTTATTCTGCTTTTAACCAACGAGCATGACTAAAGATTCACAACCTGTAAACTGACTTCCATTGAACCTACCGGGAAAACCAGCAGAACAGATGTCAAGCGACCCCACGCAGTTTAGTAAAGCTGTCAGATCCTGTGATGATAAAGTACGACTTTAAATGCTGCAGAAACTGACTGCACTTTGTGTTTGATCTTTTTTTCTTACTAGTGATGCTGATCATGACAGACGAACTCCGTCACCGGATGTCATCATCCTGTCAGACAACGAGGCTTCCAGTCCCAGAACGACACCTCGGCCCGAGGAGCGTGTGCACAAGGCTAACCTGGACATGTTCAAGGTAAAAGGCATTCGCAGCACTCCTGCAAGGGGGCAGAAATAGACTGAATATGCTGTACAAGTCCTTTAACACTGGTGCATAAATCAAGTGTAGAGGTCGCTCGCTCAGATATTTCAGGATGCTACACTTAATGAGACCTGGCTTCACACCCTAAAAACCCTGCAGCTAGCTTAAGCCCTGCGGTCGGGGCGAGCGATGGTAGCAAAGCCACTGTTAGCTCACCCAGCAGATTGTCCTGAGCAGCAGGGAAAACAGGCCGGGTGGGTGACGGTCAGGAGGAAGCGTAGTCCTGAACTGAAGCTGCCGATGCACCACCAACCAAGAGTGATACCAGGAAGTCCTGATTGAAGCTTTTCTTTTTCACAGGAGCTATTAACATAACCAATCATTTGGCTGTACATGTACAATGACAATAAAAGGCAATTCTGTTCTCTTAAGGAGGTGACTTGTGTGGGAGTAGAGCTTGGGTAGCTTCTCTGTACAGTGTTGTCACAAGGTTTTCAAGAAAGGAACAGTGGAGGAGTTGTGACCTTTTGAGTCACAGCACTTTCCAAAAGACATCTACTGTAATGAAATGAGTCTAATTTCATCCTGTATGTCAGAAGATCCAGAGTGTGATCAAAGTGGTGGATGGACTGTAATGTTTCCACAGTCTGATTATAGATGCAGAGCAGAGGACGTCGCTGTCAGCAGCTGTTTTAGCCGAGCAGAGTAATCAGGGAGAAGCTCTGAGTAAACGCAGGTGGACAATAAACAACCACAAATATAAGTAATAGTCAGTGTCACATGTGTGAAACCTGCATGTTTCCACAGGCTGTCATGGAAACATGAATACAGATGTGTCTAAATACCAGTAATGACATTACTACAGATGCATGAAGAATCCTGTGAATGAATTGGTCAAAATCACTTTTTCTTGACGTAAACAGGTTTTAAATTGCTGCTTTTGACTTTGCACAAAAGAATATTTCAGCCAAACGTGTCCTGTTTACTTTCTGCAGTCACATCCTGTGTCGATGCAGAAACACGACGCGCTGTTCAAACTGCAGCTTCTGTGTAGGTTTAGTCTGGTTTATACAGACTGGCTGTTGAGTTCAACGAGCTCGAAGTTGCCTCTGGTCTTATGTCCGGATATAGTGTGCCTTTCTAATTTTGTGTGCTCGTTTGTACCAGGGGAAAACAGGAGAGGAGAGGCAGCAGATGATCAAAGCTCTAAGAGAAGAGCTTCGTCTGGAGGAGGCTCGTCTCGTGCTGCTGAAGAAGCTCAGGCAGAGTCAAATGCAGAAGGAGAATGTGGTCCAGAAGGTCAGTGCTGCTGATGCCACACATTCTCACAGTCACGGCCACTGTTGGAGCTCTGCAGCTCTTTGCATCTGTCCGTGGTGCCTCGTCGTGGTCATGTGGGTTCAGTTCAAGTCACTTTTATTTGGTGCCAAATCAGTGTTTCCTCAAGGAGGCTTCAGTGTCTTATGTCATCACAGCAGCAGTTTGTCATGTTAATATTTCGATAATTTAACTAGACAAATATATTGCATAGACTGATCCTAACATAATAATAATAATAGTCTAATAGTTTATATCTGGAGAGCATGACCTATATAGACAATGGATAGTGCAGGATATTGGAAATCAGTATTGAAACATGTATGTACCCCTTAGCTGCAGATGGTACTGTAACATTGTTCTAAATCAGGGCTCCCAAAACCGTGGCTCGGGGGCCACTCGCAGCCCCCCGCGTGCTGCCCGTATATGGACCTGTAGAAATAAAATGCAGTTTGACTGTTGAAGTGACGATTTTGCTTGTTGTTGAGTGAAATGTTAAAATAAGTTCGTCAAATGATTGAATATGAAGGCGACATGAGCAGAGACACAAACATGACGGGTGTGTTAGTTCACTGACAGACTCACAAACCAATCTGCACACCTATGTCTGCACTTCTGTTAAATACGAACAAAAATAGGAAAAAAAGATTTGTCTTGTTATACAAAATTTGAATTATTTTTAAACAAAACTAGATTTTAGGGGAGATTTGTGGGTGTTTTCTTGTTTGTTTGTTTTTGTTTGCCCTCGCATGAGACAACAGTGCCAGCAGTGTCTCATTTAGTTTGAGAGCCCTGCTCTAAATCATATGCAGTAAACATTTATATATGAAGAAAGCACCAGAAAATCACTCTGAGATGTTCCAGTCCTGGTTTATCGTTGCTCTCTTGCAGGTCCCAGTGGTCCAGAATGCTGCGTCATCTGTGCAGCCTCCTCCCATCCACAGCTCTCCTGTCCTGGGGAAGCTACCTGTGAGGCCAGGTCTACACAACCCTGAGCCCCAGAACCTCCGCACTGCACAGGTGAGTGAGTGAGTGAGTGAGTGAGTGAGTGAGTGAGTGAGTGAGTGAGTGAGTGAGTGAGTGAGTGAGTGAGTGAGTGAGTGAGTGAAGGGTACATTTTCATTAGAGATCACACCAGTGAAGTTCCTGTTTTACAGGAACTGTGTGATTGTTGGGGTTCTGTAGTGTTGTCTCGACCTTGCACCTTAAACCAGCCGTGCTGACTTTAAATGACGTCTTTGACTCACAAAGAAAGAACAAGAACTACAGAAGTCACTCAGTGTAACCAACAGCAAAGCTGCACCAGTGTCTATGATGTAAACGAACCTTAGACGTTTTGGCTGTAAGAAAGGGTCATGTGACCATGTAGGACAGTAATGGAATCTGAAATGTCTCCTTTTTATCTGTAGTCACATTTTAAACTTCACCAAATGTAGAGTACTTACAGAGACTGCTCCGCACGCTGAACTCACACCTTTTGTTGATGTCTTTAGCAAAATGTCAGTTTTCTTTGAGACTGAATCCACGTCTCTGCTGTGGGACAGCGTGGATATGCTATCAGTGACTCCAGGTTAGCCTATCTGATTTACTGAGATGATTCATCGCCTTGTTGGTGGTTGCACCACTCACTGTAGAGGAATGTTCTTACCAAGTACGGTCTTGTTTTCATCTTTTAGCCAATGATACGTGCCAGTTTTTAAAAACTGTGCAAGCTTTCAGTTTTGAGACTCAAAAGGGAAAAAAACCAAATCTTCTGGATTTTTAGCTCCAGATAAAATTTTGAGCTACGGTGGATAAAAAAGCACTTAAACATAGAAGAACGTGCTTGTGTGAATGAGCCATGGTGTGTATTATCCATTTACAGTAAACCAGGTGAGCAGGTGTCATTTGCAGACATCAGGGATTTTCTCTGATCTCTGCTGAACAATGAAACCCTTTGTTGCCCTTCTCCTTTCTGCAGGGTCACACAGTCATCCGGTCAGCAGCTAATGCAAACTTGCCCCCCATATTGATGTCTCAGCGAGTGATAGCACCCAACCCTGCCCAGCTGCAGGGCCAGAGGGTCACGTCCAAACCTGGGATGTCTCGTTCCAGTTCCAACAGCATGGCTAATGCTGTCAGCTACCAGCAGGTATAGAGTCAAACCAACCTGGGGTAAAGCATTCTTTTGAGAAAGGTGTGAACTTGTATGGTGAATGGTAGGACTGCCTAGAGAGAGATCACTGATCAAATCCTTTACATATGTGGCTTTTCTCAGTAATAGAGGGTAGGGCTGGGCCATATTATACCGTTCACAGTAATACCGGTATAATTTAGGCAACGATAGGAAAATGAAATATCGCGATAGAATGGGAGTAAAACGCGCATGCGCAGTGCCTTTGTTTTCATACGCACATGGCCGATTGTTGAGTGAAACAGATGAACCAGAATTGGTTTGTAAAAATGGTGCAACTTCAGTGATGTGGAACTGGTTTGGTGTTTGTCCGTCAGATACACGACAAAGCACATTTTTTTGCAGAACATGCAAGCGGCCGTCGGACTAAGATGCTCTTAAATCTGGGAGTAATCTGGGTCCTAAACTCCGTATGCTTCAGGTCAAACCACTGCAGCATCACTAAGAGTTAAAAACTGTCTAAATTCTTTCATCTTTAATAAAACGATCAGCATTGCTGCTTTACCAGGTGTAACTATAAAGTTTAACTTCCAGGCATCCATGAAAACAAAAGTTATTACATTTAACGGAGTTAGAAGTTAGCAGGAAGCTAGCGGAAGTTAGCTCGCTAGTTTCGCTAGTTACCTAAGCATGATATAGCATGTTCTGACTGAGAGATTTCTGAAAAAAATCAAACGTACAGCTCTGCTATCACTTCCAACATAAATGAAGACAGGAAACTAAACAGCAGTGACGTTTGTAGGGTTACTGAAGTTGGGCTAGCTGGTATATAATGATGTGCTACGTGATCGCTAGCGACACAGCTATGTTAGCATAACATAAACAGTGAAGCTGGAGGACGAACACTAACACTTTTCCACTTATAAAAGTTAACGTTAAGGTTCCTCATGGTTAGAGACAAATGCAATCGCATGGCAGGATGCTGTAAACGGACCAAACTTCAGTCAGGAGAACAACTGAGATAATCCATCCACAATACGAGGTTAGTCATTAATATACTGCAACAACATGGGAATAGAGCAGCTGCCAGAGAATTCAACATTAATGAATCAATGGTACAGAAGTGGAGGAAGCAAGAAGAATGAGTTTAATAAAGTTTGATTTATCTGACTGCTTTGTTTCGCTTAATGTGCCTTATAATCCCGTGCACCTTATGGTCCGAAAAATACGTACTGCACACTGCAGTTTAATGTTGCAAAGCACCTCTTTTTAACTTCAGTGGATATTATACATGGTTATGCTCAGGATATGTCAGCCCATTTCTACTGGAAATGCCTTTTGGTTAAACTTTCAGCAAGGAATTTGCATTTGCACTGTTACATTTTTATAAAGCTTTAATGTACATAAAAACCAGCTTCTTGTTTAAGTGAAAATAAATGGAAGGTTGTCTTTGTGCGCTAGTAATGTTGTGGAGTTGTATTTTGTCTCGCATCAATTATATCATTAATCAGTTATATTGTTATCGCAAATTTTCAAATATATATCGTGATAAATACTTTTGGCCATATCGCCCTGCTCTAATAGAGGGTGTATATCTCTCTGCAGGCCAGTCAGGTGGCAGCTTCCCAGCGCTCAGGCTCCAGTGCCATGTACATGAACCTGGCCCACATGCAAGCAGCAGCAGCTGGGGCCGGCGGTCTGGGCGGAGCTTCGGCCGTCAGCCCGTCCACCATGTCTGGTTCAGCCAGCGGAGCGGTGAGCTCCATGGCAGACCAGGCGAGCAGTCAGGCAGCAGCCAAGCTGGCCCTAAGGAAGCAGCTGGAGAAAACCTTATTGGAGATCCCTCCACCCAAACCCCCAGCCCCTCTCCTGCACTTCCTGCCCTCTGCTGCCAACAGTGAGTTCATCTACATGGTGGGCCTCGAGGAGGTGGTGCAGAGTGTGCTCGACAGTCAGGGTAAGTAAATATCTGATATTGGGGGAGGAAACATCTACAGCAAATCTTTGATTTATACCTAACCCATCAAATTGAACTGACAGACAAACCATGAATACGGTATATTTAAATAAATACGTAAGCGTTTGTGTGTTTGCACCAAACTCCTTTGGTTGTGTGAGCATGACCCAGAGACCATTTTGATAATAATTATAAAAATTTGCCAAGACTTTGTGTGCTGACTAAATCTCCCCAGCAGGTGGTGCTATTGTTTCTTCTGTCCATAGTTTGTGCATCGCAATAACCAATCAAGGCTTAGCAGAGCCAGAAGCAGGAAGTTCTTCTCGTATGTGCGGTCATGGTTGAGAAATCAATGTCCCTGAATCCAGCTCCATCCTTGTAGCACTGCCTTTTTACTCTGTCAGCCTTTAAAGGTCTGAATACAGGAGGCTACACCTGGCACCTGTCTGCTCAGCTGTGCTTGAATCACTAAGAGCAGAACAACGTGCCGTCAGTTTGTGTCAGGAGTGCTGTGATGACTTTAAGGTTTAAAGTAAATTCTGGGTGTGCGTCTGCTCGAGCACCGCCTGTCGCTGTAGCTCTGTCATTGTTAACGGAGTCCTGTCTGTAGGTAAACTCAGAGGGACGCTGGCCCGTCTGGAGCCTTTCTTCTGCGCCCAGTGCAGAACTGACTTCACCCCCCACTGGAAGCAGGAGAAGAGTGGGAGAATCCTCTGCGAGCAGTGCATGACATCCAATCAGAAAAAGGCTTTGAAGGCAGAGCATACCAACAGGCTGAAGAATGCCTTTGTGAAGGCCTTACAACAGGAGCAGGTTAGCAGCTTATGTACCTGCATCATGCTGGCTGATTCTTACTCTCACTTAAGTTTGTTTATGTCACGAGATTGTGTGGCTATCACAATTTTACTGTCTAGCCACACAAAGTGTTGTCGTCTGGTGTTGGTAGCAAAGTGATAAATAAATAATAGGGACACAGTTGGGACTGCGTTTCATGTTTTTAAACATCCGAGTCACTAATGAGCACGTTGTCGTTCTGACTCAGCAGAGCCTCACCTGGCTTCACCCTAAAAAGCTGGTGTCAGCTAGCTAGGTTAACCCAGGGTTTTCACTGCATGGTCACATCACAGGGATGGCATTGGCAGCATCTGGATAAATAAGTCTGCTGTGAGCAGAGCAGCTGATTTTAAAGAGGAAGTTAAAAGTGCTCCAGAGCTTTTCAGTACTGAAAACCCTGAATTAGTGCTGAAGTTACCCAGATAAGATGTAATCCTGCTTTGCAGTCTCTTTGTTACCACACCTAAACTCCCAAACATAGCTGGGGTATTTGATAGTGATTGTGGAGTCGTTGAATGTAAGTACACGGTGGCACCAATGCACAAGATTCCTGAATGTGGTTCTCTTGTTAGGAGATTGAACAGAGGCTGCAGCAGCAGGCTGCTCTCTCTCCCAGCTCAGTCCCTACCAACGCCTCCAAGTCTGACACCATGATCCGACATCATGCCCTCCGCCAGGTATGTTCCAGCAGAGAGTCCACTATTAACTTGGAAGGAATAAGGAGATGTATGGTGCTCGTGTGTATGTATTCCAAACCAAATGTGCTTCAAGCAATAACTAGCAAATCTCTGGTTCTTAGGCTCCCCAGCCTCAGGCCTCCCTGCAGCAAGGGCTGTCGAACTCGGCACGAGGGGTCCTGTCCAACTTTGCCCAGGCCTCACAGCTGTCTGTGGCCAGCAGCCTCATGGGCATGACCAGTGCCAAGCATTGTGGTGGCAGCGGAGGCGGCAGCAACAGCAGCAGTAACAGACTGCAGCATGACAACCGTCGGCAGATCTACAACATCCCAGGTACACCTTTCCCCTTTCTGCTTGATGGGTGAGGGTCCGTGTGTGTGTTTTGTTTCCTGCCGTGCATCTTAGTCAACATCAGCCATTCGTAGGTTTATTAGCTCCACCCAGGACGTTGTGTTTTGTCTTTCTGTCTGTAAACACGACAGCTCAGAAACTATGGAATGAATTCTGATAAAACTTTGCAGGGGTGTAGAGCGAAGGCGACAACCAGCCATTCAAATCAGCATCCACCAAGGTCCTTAACAATAGCTTAAGCAGAGACGTGGCTATCAGCAAGTCAGAAGGGCAGGACGAGTTACACTGTGGCTTTATAGAAAGCATATGATTGGGTGTTGGGGGGTGGAGGGGTGGGGTCGACTGATACTGCACGAAGACAGAGGAGTATGTGAGGGTGGTGCAGAATATGTGACAGCTGGATTATATAAGCCTGGGAACAACTCTGAGTGCAGTCTTGTTTACATGGATGTGAATGAGAGTGAGGCAGGTGTGACGGTAAATATGCCAGAGAAGGTTATCTGGGGTCAATCATTCAAACAAACGGGAGAAGGTGAGGACGCAGATGTTTCGCTGTGTCCACCTCTGTATCGATGTAGTTTTATTGCTGTTTCTTTACATTAAAAAAATTCTAGTAAACGTATAAAATAAGAAAATAAGGCTAGTTCATGTCAATAGCAACAAAACAAAAGGTCACTTACAAATGTTTGAGCCTTAAACTCTACAAAGTGCATCTTCTCTGAATGTTGTCCTTCTGCCTCCACAGGGTTAAACATTGCCTATCTGAACCCAGCGGCTGTCGGAGCCCATAAGAGCTCCAGCTTAGCAGACCGGCAGAGAGAGTACCTGTTGGACATGATCCCGCCTCGATCCATATCGCAGTCGATCACTGGACAGAAATGAGCCCTGTCCAGCTCTTGCCCCTTGAAGCCACCTTCATCTTCATACCTAAACCATACCGAAGCACTCCTAAATCAGTCGATACCCTCTCCTCTTCACCTCTCATCGCATGCAGTGCCTGTCCATGTGCCTACCTTAAACTGACCCATAAAAACCCCACCAAGTTGGACAAGGACTCTAAACTACCAGTGCATTTGACATGCTCTTAATATAGTAAAATCCTTCTTCTTCAGTCTATTTAAGAATTATAATTCCCCTTATTATAACTGGTGGTAGCATTATTATTCCCACAACTACCATATTTGCTTCTGTTACTATTACTCATTATGCTTTTTCCTTTTGATGGTTTGTTTTTCTGCTGTTTATCTTTGACTCTGGGTAGTGACGGCCTGTCGTTGTCGGTTTCTTTAGGCCAAGGTCATATAGGATTTTTTTTTCTTTATAATTTGTCCTAAAGCTTAGCTGCGATTGTTGCTAGTAACAGAAGATCAAGATGATGCGTTCTGGTTGCTATGCAACTTACAAGCTTTGTAAAATAGTCTCGACTTGGATGAAACAGTGGAAAATCCCGATGGGTACAAAAACAGACAGTTTGAGGCTCTGCATGCTCTTGAAAAGAGGATGAAGAACCCATTTTAAAAATGGAAAAGCTGGAGGGAGAGAAGGAGGGAGCAGCAGAGCACCCACACCTGTACAATCTCCCTAAAAGGGCCTGCTTCACAGTGACACACAGCCAAAATTCTGATATGCTAAAGTTAAGTTTCAGGACAGCGCCGGAGATTCTGCCACCAACAGAGTTAATGAACTGGAAGCGAGCGACAGACGAAAGCAAAAGAAAATCCTATGTGATCGTGTTCGGATAATCTTTCCTTTGCTTCCACCGTCGTTCACGAAAAGCTTCTTATCAGGTTCTTCATTTCAGATTGAAACAGTAACACACTTTTTTATGCTGGATGATACTTAAGTTGTACTAATCACGATGGACAGTCACAGCAGTTTACCATCTGCCTCTTCAGGAGACCAGCAGTCAGTCGAAGCTCCAGCGAGACGGAAGCTGACAGGCCGAGTGTGTCGTCTGTGTACCTGCCAAGTATTGGGGCTGCTGATGCTCTTCATTCAGACAGAAACCTGTTGGTCCCATCCCATTTCACTATTTGCCAGTGACCTACTAAACCACCTCACCCATACTCCCCACCCCAAACCTTCGGCTGTTCAGTATGCACAGACTGAACCCTTTCACCCCGCTGTTCCTCGTGGCATCGCGTGTTCTTTGAGAGAGCGAAAAGACCTCAAAGCTAAAGGTGGAAGCATATTTTGTGCGTCCAAACCACAGACTCTGTAACTACAAATCTGGGTTCTTCTTCTTTTTATATTTTGGTTTTTAGATTATTTTCTAAATGTTGTGCAACACCCATTCCCAAATCCTAACTACTATTCCCATCCCTACCTCATCCCTTTTTGTTTGTTTGTTTAAACTTTATGCGGCGTCTCCTAATAAAATGGCTGCGTACCTGAGAGGTACAGCTGCCGGAGACGATAATAATCAACATAAAACAGAAACTATTAAAATGTCTGTATGGATTATGTATAGATACCTAGCTTCAGAGAAAAAGGACGTGGATTTTATCTTTTAAGGAGAGGCATGGCTCAATCATCGTGTGTCTGCTCTGCACACACGTTTCCTCTCCAGAGGAGCACTGTGCATATTTCAAATTAGATGTTTTTGTATGGAGAAGAGTTAAGAGTGGCTGCGGTCTGGATGCTGGCTGACGGCTAACCAGAGTCCGGTGAGATGCTCCGATTTCGCCGAGGTGTGTTTTGTGTTTCTCGTTTTGCTTTATTTACAGGCTCATGTTCATAATCCCCAAAAGATGTTTACATGCTTTTAATGTTCAAAAACACTTTATGATCCTGCACTTCTACAAATGCTCCGTTTGAGTTTCTGTCGCTTTAAAGCCCTCCTTCCAAAATTCCAACTCCACTCTTATTGGTCAGCTGTGATGACAAAAGCAAGGCAAAGTTGGTGACATAGCTGAACACTTTGTGGGCTTCTTAACAAAGGCCTTACCTGAAGCCACCACAGGATGACTACATGTTGCTTCTATCCCTGAGGGCGCTCACTGAAGTCACAGCAGAGCTGACGTTGGTCTTGATGGCGTTATTTGTCACTACTTGTTCTGTTGTTGACAACATGAACAGGAGGAAGTCGATGAAAACAGGTTTGTGTGGAACGTCTCTTTGTTGAAGCAGCTCAGTTAGCATGTTAGCATGACCAGTGCTAAATGGACTGGTAGCGCTTTTCTGCTCTGAGCGCTCAAAGCGCTTTACACAACTCGGTGATTCACCCAATCACACAAGCGCTGTCTGACTAACATTCACACACGTTCACACTCCGATGGACGCATCGGAGAGCAACCTGGGGTTAGCATCTTGCCCAAGGATATTTGGCGTGCAGACTGGAGCAGACGGGGATCGAACCACCAACCTTCCGATCAGTAGGCGACCCGCTCTGCCACCTGAGCTACAGCCAGGTGCTGCCACCTGCTCTGCTGCTGGTGTGTCACCTCCAGTCATGCTCCAGTTGTTACTCCTTTGAAACATGCACAAAGAAGTTATCGAACACACTGAATAAAGTTTGGAGAAAAGCTGAAAGAGACACTCAACTTGTTGATAAATGACTAAATCCTAATTTACTCTCTGCACATGTTGGACCTCAGTCCCAGCTTTCATTTCACTGGTGCCCAGTTTGTACATGTATCTGGAAGATGGAGTTACTCCACTCATATTCTGACACATAACCCTTACAGAGCCCAGTGTCAGGCCTGCACCCCGCTCTCACTCATGTGACAGATCACTGCAGCAAGTGTGCCGTTGGTAATGGACCGGTTCTTACGCAGCCCTTTGCTACTGTACCTGAGCACTCTGTGCGCTTTATACAACGTAACCTCATCCACCCAAACACTTTTTCTTTTTGCTCAAGTGTTTTCTCTCTAACATTCGTACTGTGATGGATGCATCGGGCACAACTCGGGCTCAGTATCCTGCCCCAGGATGTTTGACCTGAGCAGCCAGGGATTGAACCACCGACTCTCTGGTTAGTAGTTGACCTCCTGCTCGACCTCCCGAGCTACAGCTGCCCGTTTGTGTAAAATGATCTATTGTTGTTGTTCTTTGGTCGCACATCAGTTACAGAGTTCTTATTGCAAACTAAATTCCATCTCAGTCCCAGGATCGGTAATGTTTACCATTGGTTAAAGTGACAGCACTCGTCGTTCAGATGGAGAACTTTTGGCATGTTACACACACGAGAGTGAAACTAGTGAGAAGAACCAATCGTTCAATGTTATTACGAACAGACTCTTCGCCTGTTCCAGGCGTCACCTCAAACGCTACAGCCCATCTTCGCTGTGCTCTGGATAAGAAACGGTGAAAGTTGGTGACATAACTGTCACTGGGCTTTTACATGAGCAGCTCTCAACGCTGCAGCAGAGTGATGTGCAGTTTCCAAAGTGTCAGGAAATGTTATTCTTCCAACATAGTTGTGGAGTTGAGACGGGTTGAAAACTGCGGTGCTGTCAAATGAACAGAACTAAGCATCTGATGGTGTTAATCCACTTTTATCTATTTATCATGCAAGTGTGTGTTTTCACAAACCATTTGAAGTATTTTCATGACGACGTCGATGGTTTTGCTCCGGACAAAACCTCTAAACCTGCCCAAACCCAATCTGTCTTACACAGGTTGGACAGTTGCTTCATCACAGTTAGTTTGAGACCTAACAACAGCTGTCACAACCAGCAGTGTTAGATTGTGGTTGGCTGCCTACAGACAGCAGGCAGAAAGCTCGTTTTCCCATAAACGTAACTTTTTCTTCTTCTTTCTTTTTTGCTTATCTTGCCTTAGTGGACCATCACAGTGGATTTGAAATCAAGGTGTTATTGAAATGCAGACTTTGTTTTAATTCAAAGGGTTTAAACAAAAATATTGCATCACCTGTGGAATCTTTTTTACATCTTTCAGAGGCTCAAAAGTATTTGGACAGACTGCTGTAATTTTAAATGTGCGGATTATTTTTAATACTTCACTGAAATCCTGTGCTGTCAAAGACTGCCTGAAGTCTCGAACCCACGGACATCACCAGCGGTTTCCTCCATCGTGATACTCTGCCAGGCCGTTATTCCATTTACTCCAGCTGCCTTCAGCTGCTTTTTGTGTGTGTTTGCCTTCAGATTTGCCTCAATACTCAATCAATGTCCCATTTCTTTGTCTCAGAAAAGCTCTAGGGTTGCTCATGCAGTATGTTTGGGACATTGTCCATGTGCACTGAGGTGTCATCCAGTCAGTTTTGGAGCATTTGGCTAAATCTGAGCAGAGAGATCCTGTACACTGCAGAATTCATCCTGATGCTTCTGTCACGTCACCAATAAGTAGTTTTCAGGCATACATACGTATGCCACAACACTGCCTCCACCTGCTCTTTTAGATATTCTTTGTAAATGTCTCATCTGTCCTGGTTGATGGAGCGTAACCACCTTCATGCTGAGAGTTCCCATGATCAGCTAAGTACAAGTTCAACATTCACCATTAATTCCACATCTGTTTTCTCCTTTGTCAGGGAACAATGAGGGAGTCTGACCACGAATCTGCTTGTCTGTCAGTTGTCCAGTTACTTTTGACCCTTGAAGAATCAGTCAGTCAACAGTCAATGCAACACTTCTGTCAATTAAATCAGAAAGTCTGGTTTTGTCACATGTTGATTTGGTTTAAAGTCCACTGTCGTTGTGTGAAAGGCAAAATTTAATGGTCCAAAAACCTCTGGAAATAACTGTATGATGGTGGTGTTGAAGGTTTGGGAGGGAACATGAGCAATCTTCATAACTGTAATGAGGCTGTGCAGACAGCAGGTTATATGACCAACACATCATTCAGACTGCAGTCGAACCCTCTCATAATCTACGCAAGCAGAACGTGTTCAGGTCAAGTCTTTGGTGTTGTTGGTGACAACACTCGGCTATTTCGAGCAGTGTTCAGTTAACGTGCAGTATTATTCACAGCACACTGGCCCTCCAGGAGTCTGACGCATGCAGATTACTGATGATGATCTGCGACAGCATCCCGGCAGATTCAGATTATTGATAGAGACCTTGGACTAACGTGTAGTGAAACATGGCTGACCTGTTGCAAAGGACTCCGCATGACCTGACACGACCTCTGGCCGCCATGTTGGATTTCTTCAGCTCTCGGGTACCGGCTGATGTTTCTCACAGAAACGTTTACCTCGGTTTGTGTACGGTGTTTGAATGTCACAGATTACAGTTGTTTCTCTGATCCTTTGGTTTATGACTGAGCAGCTGCACAACTACACTCAGTTCATTGAAAAGTGTTTGCTAATGCACATGAACTGCTCCTTTTTTAAAATGATTCACATATTGCAACTTGACATTGGCATTTAGCTTAAAGCACTGCTGTGTTCAAGTAAAAGGCACATGTGAATGTACGAGCCAGAGAAGTGATGTTAAGACCAAAAATACAGTTTTAAGAAAATGGATAAAAGAGCTTCTCTCTAAAGTACGTCAGCACTTCATCAGCTAATCTGTGCAGGTCGGTCGCAGTAGTCTTCTCCTGTTTAATGAGCCCACCAGCCAAGAAAATCTCCTGTAAGCTGCACGCGGGACGATTTTTGGTCCATAAAGAGAGCAGCACCAAATCATGACAGAGGAGTGTTCAAACCATGTCATGTATGTTGAACACAATGGGAAGCAAAACTATCCAAAAACATGAGTTTTGCATCTGAAAGCACTTTGAATGGTCAGACGACAGTAGAGAAGGCAACACTGTCCTGAGCTTCTTCACAGCTCAGGACAGTGTTGGAGTTCCCATGATGACCCATGGAAAGGTCAGTGTTTCCTCTTATGCCCAGTTTGAGAGCTGTTAGTTTTCCCCTCTCCCTAATTCAGCTGTTTGCTCACATGTGCATCTTATAGCCTGCTAACAATCAAAGTGTGTTATATTGTTATTGACACGGGGATAGAAGTTTCAGTGTTCAAATCCACAGATTGTGGCTGATACTCTCGTAAGTTTCTCAAATTTGCTTAAATATGAAGGTGGGTGCTGTAACAGTCTAAGGCCTGTCGCCCTGCAGTGAACCCGCTGCCTCATAAAGGCTGTACGATACAGTACTGTCAGCTTTTATTACAGTGTTACTGAACGAATCCTAAGCAAGTATCGGTACTGAGTCGACTCTGATGAAGCTCCGTGTGAATCCATCTGTGGTTCAAAGCTCAGCTCCAATAAGCCCTGCATCGTCTACACGCGTATAGTGTTTGTGCGTTTTTTTTTGTTTGTTTGTTTGTTTTGTTGTGCGTTCTGGTTGTGTCCAAGTAATCCAGACCTGCCTGTCACTACTACAGAATGATCCAGTGACAAACAGTCCACAGAGAGCGATCCAAGATCCCTGCTGTGAGCTGGCACTATGTGTATAAAGACTGAGCTGAATGGGAGACAACGTTTGAAATTGGATGTAGCGAAACGATACCTGAAATCTATTTTTGCTCCAACTCCTGGTCCGATCTGCTTTAGCTGCAAAGCTAAAGTTTAAATGACAAAATAAGCTCCCGTCTCTCTTTTTGCAGATGCATTTATACATCTTTGTATTTGAACTTTGTTCTTTTCAACATCACTTTTTAGATTTTCAAGTCATTCTTTATTCTAAGGATTTGTTTGTTTTCTTTCTGTCGCAGTTAAAAAAAATATTGACTATGAAATAAATGACACAATATTTGCTAGGTTTTAAGTAATAATGACTTATTGTACATATGCATTTTTTCCTCCGTTACTGAAAAAAGAAATTAAATGGTTGTACATTGTGTAGAAAAGCAAACAAAAAGCCATGAATATTGTGAAGCTTGTCATTTCGTTTTGTGATCACTGTGTATTATTGTGTAACAAATGTGCAAAATGTTTGGGATTCCTTTTCTTTCGCCCGTTCTGCTTCTTGAAGCAGCCTTGCTGGTTGCATTTGCTGTTATTTTGAACTAGTTAGCGTTTGCAGGAAAGTGCTCACTGGTTCAGATCAGAATGGTCCGAAACTCCCGTCTGAATACTTCGACGCATTAAACTTTAGATACCTTCAAATTACTTGTTGATGGAAACACTCTGATTGGTCGGACTCGGTGGGCCTAGCCCTCACTGTCAGAACGCCGTCACGTTGGCGAAACCACCTCTCGTAATTACGTTTCTGTGTTTTGATGGAAACGATTACTGCTCCCCGCAGACAGCGGATCGACACGAACCACTAAGACGCAGATTCTTACAACTGTTGAAACTTTTTGTTTGTTTAGCTTTTTCGTAAAGAAGCGCTCGCCCTGAATCAGTGACCACTTTTTCTGCCGACACCAGCATACAACACGTATGATACTGTACTGTTTGGCTTTATCTTCTATTAATTGTTGTTGCTAATGCAGGGAATGATTTAACTGCAAAATCATTGTTTCTTTTTGCATAGTGTTGACAATTTTAAATATCTGGGAAGTAGGAACGAATGATAAAACGGACCAGAGACTAATCAGACTAATTTTTGTTTTACTTGCATCAATCCTGACCTTTTGCACATACTTGATATTTAACGGTCTTCAAAAAAAACGTCAAGAAAATAATGCTGTTTGAATACTGCCAGTTGATTGACAATTATGCATTGATTGAAAAAAAATAAGCTAATTTTGGAGGAAATAACTTTGTAATATTTATCTCTTGCAAGCTATGTTTAATAAAGGTTGAAACAATTTGCTTCAAAGTGTCAACGTCATTCAGCTTTCTTCTTCTTCTTCAGCGACGCTCTGGGCAGCGTTTTCAGCCGATCTGTCCCGACCACTTTTCCTCTGGTCTTTTCATTAATTTTCAAGTTATCATTATCCCCTCAAAAACGGTCTCCATCTACCCCAACAACATACCCTGGATCACCAAGGAGCTCAAGGAAATCCTTAATTTAAAAAAAAGAGGATTTTCTTTTCCGGCTCTGCTCTGGATAAAAAGGAGGTCAACAGGGAGGTCAAGAGCCCCTTAAAAACTGCTAAACTGGAGTATAAAAACACTGTTGGAAAAAAATTCACCACAGGGGACCTCCACTCAGCCTGGCAGGGCCTCAAAACCATGGCCTCTGTGAATACTGTGGTCACCACCTCCAGAACCATCCAGGTTCTCATTCTTGGCCTGTTTATGCCATGCCCTTATCTTTAACGTCAGCTCCGTTGTACCTTAATTGGCCCTTGGGGATAAATAAATGAAGTCTCTCTGATTCTGATTCTTTAGCCGTTTAAATCAGCTGTGTTGGATCAAGCACACCGGCCCTCGAGGCCTGGAGATCCCCACCCCTGGATTAGGGGGTCTATACTTAAACCAGCGTTTATATCATGTACACAACGCAGTACTCTCCACTAGGTGGCAGCCTGGAGCAACAAACCATTTCCCGGGTCAGCTGAAATGTGACCTGTGTCGAAACAGTTTCCATCTGGAGAGCTTGAAAGAGCCTCCAGGAGAAGTAGAATGAAGCAGACTGATCAGGACTCAATCTGAACCCAGCTCTCTTCATTTCAGCACCGACGAATGTGTTTTTACTGTAACTTGTTTCATGATGTCATTTCTTGATTTTTCAGTGTTGACTAAACAGCCATCCTCTGTGAGCTGCTTTGAATGAACCGGTACATGCAGGGATCAGGGCTGGTGGACACACACACACACACACACACACACACACACACACACACACACACACACACACACACACACACACATCACTCTCTATTTGGAGCAGCTGTTACAGTATTGTTTCTGCGCTGTGACATGTTGACTGACTGCCATACTGCATTTGAGATACCATCTACTGGAACATGCAAAGTTACAAAGCAGAATAGAATAGAAATGGTTTTTGCCTGAATATTAAATATTATTGTAGCATTGATCCTAAAAAGCGCTCTGTGGGTTTTATGACTCTTTAAGTCATAAGACCACTGCTAACAGAATCAGCTCCCAGCCCAGAGCAGATTTACTGAGCGCTCGCTAACAGTCTTATCTGACTCCTGCCTCCTTTGAGCGTATCAGAAGGTTCCTGTAACGGCGATGCATAGTTTGAATAGACTTTTCTAAAAATAAGGCTGTCAGACATGTATTTACTTAAGGATGTTTGCAGAAATGCCTGTGCGTACACAGAACTGTTGGACGGTTGGTAATAAACAAGTGTCACATATCTGTTTCTGCCATCATACTGAACTCGTACTGTTACCAGTTAAACGAGCTGATGAGGTCTTTCAGGCTTCGTGCACATGCAGGAAAACGAGCTGCATCTCACTCCCCTTTTGTCTAGAGCGCGAACAGTCATTACACAACACAACCACAATCATGTGACCTGTAAAATAGCATGCAGGAGAACAGCTGCATTAATAGAGTACATGATGTGACGGTGGGCGGGGCCGGCTCTGTGTGGAACGTGTGGAACATGACGTTCTCTGAGTGTTTACATATAGATCTGCCTGAAGGACGGGAACACGGTAGGTGGACGACCTCGAGTGTGTAACTATAGTGCAGTGGGACCTTCCAAAGTGCTTCAAACCACACAGCCTCCCTTAAGTGAAACAGTAACATCGCTCATCTACATTTGCTCTGTGTTTGTCTGTTATCATCTATGTGCTGAATGGACTGAACTCTAGCTGTTGTCACACCTTAACAGCCTTCAAACATCAGAAAATCTCCCAGCGAGTCATTTCCTTATTGTCAGCCTCGTTGAGCCTGAGTGGCACACACACCTGGACGTTGATTTAATGTCTGCATGTGCACAAGTCAATACGCAGTTAGGCCTTCCTCCATCACTGTAATATACTCTAGAATAAAGAGTTAAGCCACATCTATCGTATGCAGCTGCTCACTACAATAATTCGTTAGGATTCATGAATTAATCCTAATATTTGCCTCACTTTTTTAACGTAAACTGTCACGGACTCCTCACAAGGCAAAGATCTACATGTAAGATACACAGAGTGGACGAGACTGAACAAGCAGCAGGGCTGATAATGAACCACAGAGACCGTAGACAAACATTAACATTGATAATAACTCCAGGGGCATCCATCTGTTGCTGTCTGTTTCTCCTGTTCCAGCTTACCTGCTCTGCAGCTGTGTGCACGCTCTCAGTCACTCTGGAGCGAAACACATTCACCTTACTTTGGTCACTGCTAACGTCCTCTCTCCTGCCCGTCAGTAAATCTTTTCAAACTGCTCACAGTTGTTTGAATGTGCTTGAAGTCCAAACAAAGGTTCCCAGACCAAAGTCTGTTTATTCTGGAAAACATTGCTCAGCACAGAAATGATCAAATCTGTTCTTGCACACATAAAACGTGCTGATCGGTGCTGGTAAAGAGCGGAGCGTCTGCCGGGAACACAAACCGGGAAGGTTAAGATCCTGCGGTCGGTTTGTTTCCACCGGCCTGAGAGTTTATGTCTTCCTCACTCTCCCCAAAAACACAAGTGTTCACGTCTGTGCGGTTTTATCTGTATTTTCAAAATATCTGCCGATTCATGTTCCGTCCTGCTTGTTGTTTTTCAGTGCGAGCATGCACGCAGGTGGCAGACGGCTGATTAAGGTGGATGTCAAGGTGACGAGTCTGTCCGTGCACATTGCTGTTCCCCACACAGTGAGTGAAATGCTGCAAACGCTATAGCTACTGATCAAAACGCTCAACAAGGAAAACTGTCATTGGTTCAGCTTCCAGGCTTTTATTCTTTCTCACTGTTTCTTTAGAATATGCATGAATAAAGTAACTGTTGTAATGGCGATGACCTTGTTCACTGTTATCACTGCTGACTTTGTTTTCTGAGTATCTCCTCCCAGGACAGACAGTGGGTGGGCCCTCTGTGTTGTCTTCCTTTGGGGACCCTGACTTCCTCCCACCACCCAAAAGCATGAATGCCAGTTTAACTGGGGACTCTAAACTGGTCACAGATATGAAGCAGAATACAGTACTGTAGGAATACATGGTTAACCATGTGACTTACAGTTACATACCTGTGCTTGCACCATATTAAAGACTCCGCTGACTAAACCCATGTGACTTTTTGACAGACAGAGTTCCCTGAAAGGGAACAACCTGTAACATTTTCAACATTTATTCGCTTCCATTTAAAAGTAAGTTTGGCAAAAACCCACTAAAATATCAAAACTAAAAGCAGATCAAGCAGCAGGAAGCAGAAAGTCCCCCCCGTCCTGCCCAGGAGCCATGAGAAAAACAAAATTCCTCCCGAAGACGCCCACATGCCCTGTGTGCATGCCCCACGCATGAACAAGGACTCCAACCAATCACAGAACACTTAGTAACAGGCTTCAGCCAATCAGTCCTCAAGTTTTGGGGGAAACAGAGAGGATTTTTTTCTCCTGTGGTTGACACTGTGAAAAGAAAGAATGAAGGAAACTCGTCCAGTTCCTGAGAAGCAACTTTTGTGTCAGTTCAGCAGCAGCAAAGCAGCAAAGCAGCAAAGCAGCAAAGCAGCAAAGCACAACCACGGTCGCCTCCAGGCGGCTTTATACTGGAAGGCAGACGCTGCAATAATTGTTATGTGAAGAAATGTCTTTCAGCCACTTTTCTCCTTTAGTGGTCAGTTCTCTCTTTGTTTCTCTGCCTTTGCACAAGCACATTTCCCTTTCCTGAAACAGACTTCACAAAGGCCGAGTTCTGTTCAGTTAAGAGCTTCTTCTTCTGTTGTCACACTTCCATATCAAAAACTGGGAAAAGATGAAGCTGCTTGAACCTGTCTAAAACAATAAGAAGGCCTAATGACTTGTCCTGTTAACCTTTGTACTGTCGCCATCGTGCACCTGGTCACATTTTGAGAAATAATGTTTTTATGCCCCCTTAACTGGATTGAAGGCATCATAAATGGAGGCTTTAAAGAGGCCGGTTTTACAGTTCAATGCTTTTTTGGAAGAGCCTCAGCAATCAGTGTTTATTTGAGGCAACTGTATCATGATGTCCCACTCATGACTAGACTCGCTCAGTAAGCAAACTGAACTTCCTGTGGTGAATCACCGCCTCCGCTGAGAGAACAAATGGGCGGATGAGGAAATAGACAGCGATCTGCTGAAAACCGGCGGGTGTGTCTGTGTACTTGTACTACTGGTATTTTGTGAGTGTCTTGGTGGGTGGGTGTGAACACGCAGCTCGTGAATGCTAGCCTTTATTCAGTCAGACAGGGGGCAAGTGCTCTGGCCTCTCAGCCAATCACAGCTGGCGTCTGGGGATGGCTCGAGGCGTGCGCCGAGTTATGACATGATGGTGTAGCTGCCCGCAAACACACATGCCTGGAACATGAGAACATTTCTCATCAGCCTTACTTCATCTCTCAGAGTGAAACCCAAGAATGAGCCACAATGCAAATGTCTGGAGATTTATCATCATTAGTTTTATTCATTTTTATGACTATGAAGGATCTCCTGAGGGTTCGGCACTGCCAGCCCGAATCTTTATTGTTGTTATTAAGTTGTTGCAAAGTCTCCGTCTGTGCCTCTCTGCACTGGAACGACAGTGGAGGTGGAACAGGCCTGCAGGGTCGGCGTCTTCCTCTTCTTGCCTTAAAGACAAATGTTAGCCTCAGTGAGACGAGATGGGAGGAGCCTGTTTTTGAAGAAGTCATTAGAAACCCCCCCCCCCAGCTCGCTGCCCTACTGCTCGGGAACGCCTTGATGGACCTCAGACGGTGAAAAGTGTGGATCCAAAGTCAGGCAGACCTTAATAGGAGGGAGTGAAGTCC